CATTTTGGAGAGAATTAAATATTGCAAATTGGCGCTCTGATAGCAATTCGCCAAAATAAAAATCCACTATTTTGAGCCATTATATGCATGCTAAATGACACATGGCCACAAATTTGACAAATAAAATCCAACAATTACCCAGAATTTAGCAATTTGCCAAATTTTAATCCCTCCAAAATTTTCCACTATTCAGTATACATGAATGTACATGTACTGCTATAATTTTTCATCAGTAGATGCTATAATTTTGGCAAGCAGTCAATCAAATAATGCTTGTTTATCATGAAAAGCACATATACATGTACAAGTACATATATTTGTCAATTTATACAATGAAAACACATGTACATTGCCAATATGAACTACATGTATCATGTGGTTTTAAATAATCAGTCATTAAACTATCAGTTATCACACTCACTGCCAATAAATTTTATACAGTAATACAAAACCAGATGCCAATAAAATAATGCAGAAAAAATTGGGGCTGATTTCTAAGCCATTTTTCATAAAACACCATAAAAATCGGCCAATTTCTAAAAATGAAAAAAATTCAGTTGAAACCAGCTCAAACTTTTACACATAATTATGTATTTAAAACTGTAATTAAAATTCGGGATGATTTTGAACCCATTTTTTGGAAAAAAATTTTGGACTAATCAGGGTATCTATCAGAAATTGGCTTGTTTCTAAAAATGGTTATAACTCAAAAAAATTATTCAAAATCAGCTCAAATTCTCTACATAGCACAAGGACATCAATACATGTAAGTATCAGAAAATTTAATAAAAATTGGGGGTGATTGGGAGCTATTTTTAGGAAATACATTGTCTTTTATTCCACAATTATTTTTTAATGACCTTAACCAGTGATTCTGGCCATTATTCCACTAATCGGTTTCTTATGCTTCAATTATTTATACTGTATTTTACATTTTCATATTTCTTTATTGTGGCTTTCATTTTTGCTTTCATTAAATTTTTTGTTGCTTCAACTACAAATAATTAAGAAATAGTGACAGAATAATTTTTTAATTTCTTACCATTTTGGTGAAATGTCAATGAGAGTATTACAGACGACAATCACAAAATTAAAAAAATCCTCAGCCTAGCATGTAAAAATAAAGAACCATGAAGTTAAAAAGGTAGAAGTGACAAATGAGGCTGAAATGATTCTTTCAATGGTATATAGCAATAATAGCATGATTCCAGTTAGGCACAGTATCAGGATTATAATCGGCATAAATATTATTGATATTACCCAGCAGAACAGAGGAGTTGAATCAATTACTATTACCAAGAGTAGAAGATAATAGTTGCTATCACCAGCAAATAAGAGCCCAATATTCGGTCGTTTCTATGGCGGAACTTGCGGAACACTACGAAGAATGCGGAACGAGTGATACGGAACGTACACAGACGTATGCGGAGCGAACGCGTAGCGTTCTGCAGAGTGTCTAGAATGCGGAACAGAACCATAGACTATCTATCATAAACTAGAGTAGAGCAGTGAACTACAGGCTGAGAAGCAGAACTTGAATGTGACTGATACTTCAAAGGACTATACTGAG